AAAAAAAAAAAAAAAAAAAAAAAAAAGAGAGGCTTGTGTCCAACACTTGGGTTTGACACACCCATGGTATGAAAGGGTATGTGAGGAACTTTAAGGTTTCTTCCAGTAACTTGATTTCAAAATATTTTTCACTAGTGGAAGCTTGCAAAGTGAATAGTAACAACACTTTGTTGAAGAGAGACAATTCTGTGCTAGAGTGACTGAAAAAAACAAAGGTAATTAAGGAATCGGAAGACTAACCAAAGTAAAGGTGATCTAAAACTATCCAAATGATTGGTGTGCCTTAATTTTCAGACACCCATCATTTTATTATTAATAAAGTTTACATGTAATCCAATGTATCCAATGTGTACGGGGGCGGTGGGGGTGGCAGCACAGTGCCTGTCCCCTGGCACAGTGACTCACTGGATACAGTGGGAGGCAGGCAAAGACGCCTCTCAGGTAACCAGCGTTTTTGGTTATCCTGCACCCCCATTCCCCTTGGGTGCCAGATAACAGAGCTTTTGCTCTATGACCTTTTAAGTTGTTTGGGAAAGGAGCAGAGGAAAAAAGACCATATAGCTTGGTTTGGAGAGTGAGATGGGGAGGAGGGGGTAACTCTTTTTAAAAAGGCAGGTAAGATACTACAGTTTAAACTTGAGAAAAGGATGTATAAACATTGAGAATACATCAACATCAATTGAGTCTTGATAACAACTGATACAATCCTCTCATTTTGTGCTTTTATCTATAAGACCTTAAATGGCTTGGGCCTTGCATACCTAAAACCTTTATGCCCTATTGTTATCTCCAATTCAGTGGACAGCAGCTTCCTGCAAGTAATATCAGTACATCAAGTCTGCTTGGTGGAAACTTGTGGGAGGCTGTACTCCAAAAGCTGCTCCTCAGCTCTAGAACTTATTCTTTTGAGGTCTGCGAAACCTGAGCCTGGACATCTTTAGGAAGTACTGCAAAGCATTCCTATTTGGACAAGTATCTAGTAAACTAAGCCAGGACAGTATTTATATCACATAAATACATAAGTTCATAACACTTTGTCACCATAAGTTGGATAACATTACTTTCGTATGCCTGGGATTCACCTAAAAGCATCTTATGAAATTGCCAATGTACTTTTTAAGTAGAATAACAAATACCTGCCATAGCTAAAAGCTTTGTTTGATAGCAATTGAAATAGGCCTGTGAAGATGTGAGGAAGATGCATTTTAGGAAGCTTAAGTGAAATATGTAATGCATGAAAACAGAAAAGAAGTGAGGCAAAATGAAAAATTAAAGCATTGTTACTCCTAAATATTTTTCTGTCCCTGATTTGTATGTACATCTAGACTATCTCGGGCATCAGTTCATTTCAGTGATTTGTTCTATGATGAGTTGTCTTTTTATTTGGGGAAAAAAGGAATTTAACTTGGGTTTAAAGACAAAACTTCTATTAAATTTGAACTAAAACCCTTGTACTTAATCTGTTATGTGATGAAACTCATTTGTGTCTGTACCAACTGAATTTCTGAAGTCCTGCCATGTGTATTACCTTTTGTTCATTATTGTAGTACAGATTTTATCAGTTCATATTTTTAATTCTCAAATTCATTTGAAGTACAGATGTATAGAATCACTCAGCATTTCAAGGACTTGAACAGGAAACAGTTTTGTAGCTAATCCTGAAAAATATCAGTAATTTGAAACTCTTGTGTTATGCTAGGTAATGTTAGTTTATGAAAGAGATGAATACAGAGACATGTTTGTGCTAATCCTCGCAAAGAGGGCAACTGAATGTAGCATTCATATGTTATAAAAAGTATTACTTGTTTATATTTTAAAATGGCTTAAGCTTAATTAGCCTACAGCTATACTGCAAGGAGGTGGCTAAGCTTGCAACTTGGGCTGAGACCCTGCTGCAGGTGGTCAGCGGTTAAGAGTCTGCCTGGGTGGAATACTGACAACAGCAGCAACTGGGTAAATTGGGGTGGAGCCACAATGGCTAGGGCCAGACATTCCTGAATTGATTCAATCTTTGCAAATTAATTTAGCCTGCAGAGACTGAACTGATTTGCAAGTGAATAGATATTCACTTTTGAAGCATGAAATGCAGGCACATGCCTACAGTAGCTCAGGACAGAAGCTGGGGAGATGCTAGAGTGAGCCCTCCCTTTGCTTTTATAGTGCTGAGCTGAGAGGTGGGGTGTGACCAGCCCCAGGCAGGGCACTATGATTAGGGAGGGGTTTAAACCCCCACCCTGGCCTGCAGAGTCACCAGCTGGCATGTGCCTGGAGAAGGAAGCAGGCCCTGCCAGGCTTTTCCCACACTTGCAGCTCAAGGGGAGGGGAGTGTTGCCAGGCCCTGGGCCCCAGCTAGCATTCTGAGGCAAGGTGGGGAGGAGGAGAGGGAGGACTGCTTGTGTGGACTTCATGCATCTGTTGATGATACTGAGCTTTTCAATCTCCCTCTTCTTGCTTCTTCATACTATCTGCAGCAAACTGATAGCACTCACAGGTAGCATTCATTGCAAACCAGGTTATTTCGCACTCTCTCTCTTCTT